TACGCATTGTGGCACGAAAAATTCTGTAAAGAAAACAGGCTCATGTATTCCCGAACAGGAAGAAATCGGACAGCCTACGCAAAAAGTGCGATTAATATGAAAAAAAAGACAAGGCAAGGGGTAAGCAGACCCTACAACAACCCGACTTAGAAGCCGTTTCATTATACTTTATCCTTTGTGATTGCTTACTTGAGAAACCTGCGTAGACTACTGAAGAAATCGGGGTAAAGAAAACACAGCTGCATGGCACAGCAGCGGTGGCTATATCCTATATTAAGTCCTATACTGCTGTATGGAAGTCTATCTATACTGCTGTATGGAAGTCTATGCTTCGACGGCGGTGGCCAAGTAAGAAACTTTACAGAGACAGCTGTGTCTGACAGCCCTTGCTGCGGGGTACCAGAGCTCAACCGTTCGTTGGACACATAAGGGGTGCGGTTAACGTTGATTCATGATTGGCGATTCTTGGCTTACGGGCGGGGCCGGTACTGCAACACACGCCCAAACGTTACTACAGCCCCCAACGCAAGACTCAGTCGGTCGTTTTGTTGGCTTGTTCTCTCTCTCTGTTCTGGTCTAGGTCGCTTGACGGCAACGTACGTGGGATCTATCTTCGCGGAGCGGAGAAGAAGCAGGGAGGAGGAGACCGGCAGCGGCGGCGGCGGCGGCGAAAAACACGGCAGAAGAAGAGAGCTGCCTCGGTTCTTCATGCCCCCCCCGGCGTCCGTCGCTTCCAGTACCGGTCCTCCTCTCCCAGCCGGCAGTAGCGGCAGCAATGCCGACACCACGCAGACGGTAAGGGAGGGAGGGAAGAAGAAGGAGCGAGCACCGCCGGACCCTAAACGTTTGGGTACAGCAGTACCAACCACCTTGTTCGCGTGTGGGTTGGTCTGCTACTTGAGGAGACCCGCGTCAATCGCGGGGAGGTTTTGTTTGTTATCTGGGGGGCCTTCTTTTTAGTTTCTTAACCCTGAGAGATGTGAGACCGTTGGATGACACACCACACATACAGCTCTTTCGTTTATTCAGGACTGACCTCGGCGAGACATCCATTGGTCACGTCGAAAGTAAGCCACTCCGAATCTTATCCTCTCAGCTGAACGTTTACCGACACGCCCTGTTGGCCATCACATACTTCCTTGTAAACGCCGCAATCGTTCCGCTGTGTCTTGCTGTATTCCATAGTGGCACCCTCCCAAACAACGCGCTACTTCGAAGTAGATATCTACGATAGCTTTGCCACCGACAGCTTCTGTGATGCTTCGGAACACCCTTCTCCACCCACGGGAGACGTAGTACCGCATCATTTTTTTGTGTGTTGACCTTTATTTCCTCTCTCCTGCCTACATGTGCGTTTGTTCCATTCAACATTAAAGATCCGTACGTACAGCTATTTAGTTCCTTTGCTCAAGGAGGGGGGGTGGGGGTTGACAATCAAGCAAGCGGGGAGCGCGCGCGCGGGGGGGGGGGGGGTACACCAAGGGGGCTAAGGCGAAAATATCGGTATACGTCAGCTGACGTATGTGTGCTTGGATAAAAAGCGCGGCGTGGTGCTCGGCGTTTTGGCTGGCTTGTCATGATAATCACACACCCTCCGCCGCCGCCGCCGCTCGCCAACTTGCCCAAGAGGTATATCTCTCTTCATCTACTTCAACAGCGATGTCCTCTGCTCATGCACCACTTCTTGCGACGATGCCTGTGCCCTTGTCTTAACGGCAGTTGGAAGAGGGCCGCGTTGCGGCGGCGCGGTCGAAGCTGAGGGCGAAGGCTCGGAGCCGTTTCTTGCAGCGGCGGGAGGAATACCTGATGGGTTTTGAGGTGAGGCGCACGGCGGCGGGAAATCGACGTTGGAGGGGGAGGGAGGGCGTGGGGGTAGAACTTGAGCGTTTTTACTTGCCGAGGGAGGCGCGTAATATGCTTGCCGTATGCTTGTCCGTAAACCTCGCTATTTGTAGGCGTAGTACAGAGGGGGGGGATACACGCCCCGAATTGGAGCGTAAGCATTTCTTGTGTCTCACAAATTGGTGTTGACTTAATGGGCTTTTCTTTTTCGGTGGACACGGACGTTGGTATAGAGCTTACTAGAAGTCTGGGCGGGGAGTGTGGGGAACGCATCTCCCCCTCCCCCGACCCACACGCAACCGGCAAGATTTTCGCCGCAACCCCTAACTTTCAAAGCCGGCATGTGTTTAGAAGCGTATTTAACCTGTGGGCGCGGTGTCTCGACACGGCGGTTGCGTGCTTCTTCGGTTCTTCTTGTCGGTGCGGTGTCGACGTGTTGACCCCAATGGCGAAGAAAGAATCGTCTGCGTGGAAACCTCTTTTTTGTCGCCGCTCTCTGGGCCGCATGCGACCATGTAATAAGCGGACACACAAATACAAAATACATATGCCACCTCAACCCGATGATTGGACACACCACACACAGGACCTCTCGGATGTGGAACGAGCCCTTGCGACCTGCGTGGCGCCTGCGCCGCCGCCACCACCGTCTCCCCCGCCACCGCCGGCAGTGGTCGATGATGGCAACAACGTCAGCAACGGGGCAAAGGCAGCAGCGCTGGAGCCAGGGGTTGCTGCACCGAATAGAGGTGGTGGATCAGATGACCATCAAGCGGGGGCGGCGGCTGCGGCGGAGGCGTTGTCGGCGGGGGGGAACGGAACGGCGGGAGTAAGCGGCAGCGATGGTGAAGCCTCGCAAGGCGGCCTTACCGCCGACACAACTTCGTCTCCGCCGCCGCCTGGTGGTGATCCCCACGCGGCCGTCGACGCCCAGGGCGGCAGCGCCGACTACATGGACTTCGTGAGGCTCCGGGGCCTGGTGTCCAAGAAGGCGGCGGCGGCGGCGTGCTTCAGATCCAGGACGTTCCTGAGGTTCCCCAGGGACATCCGGGCGCGCATCCCCTCGCGCGTGTTCTTCAAACACGTCTACGAGTCGGTCACGCTGCAGAAGACCAGGCTCACGCTGCAGTAAGTGTGATCGGGCTCTTTGTGCTTGCTTGCTTGCTTGCTTGCTTGCTTGCTTGCTTGCTTGCTTGCTTGCTTGCTTGCTTGCTTGCTTGCTTGACAGAGGCCTGTTTCGTGCTTGCTCCCCCCCCCCCCCGATTTCTTTCTCTTTAGGTCTGACAGCAGGGAAGGGCGGGTGCGGAGAAGCCATACAGTCAGTAGTCGTTGATGAAGCTCTCTGTCTCTCTGCCTTCCCCCATCGCTACGCCGCCCCTCTCTCCGTCTCATCAGTGTGTGGCAACAGCAAGATAACTTGATATTTCGGACAGGTTTGGATACTTGCGGACATTTTACGCTTTGTTTTTCTCTGATGTCTTTTTTTTTTTGTTTTTTTTTCCCTCCCCTCCCCTCCCCTCTCCACCGCCCAGCTTTTACGACTCGGAGGGCTTGGGCTTCCTTCGGGAGCAAGACCTGGAGAACTACGTGTACGATCACATACCCACGATGCCGGCCCTGCGCGCCATCCACGACAACTTCTACCCCTTCTACGTCTTCACGGCCGTGCGGCGCTTCATGTTCTTCCTCGACCCAAAGCGCACTGGTGGGTCTCGTGGGGGGGTGTCCATGTCAGTAGTTGTCGTAGAGAGCAGGAAGCGCCGTCCGAAGTGAATTACTTTGGCCTTGGACAGCAGTAAGTGCCATACTCCGCAAGAGGGGGGGGGGGGGGCGTGGGTGGCATGGCTCAGAAATTTTCATCAGGCAGTAACTAACAGCCAAACCACAGAAAAAAAAAAAAACGACACCAACAACAACATTTCTCCTCGTTCAACGTGTTTTGACAATGATGGCGGGGCTCACCAGCACTATCATGGCCGCTCTTTTTTTTTAGGGCGAAAGCCCTCGCTAAAGAACAGGCAGGCATGCTCCCCTTCCAATCGGATTTGGCAGATTTCGCGGACATGGACAACTTGCATGTTAGAGCGACGAGGATGTGTACCTGTTTGTCGTCTCGAAAGAAAACGAAAATCAGTCCCAACGAACGAAGGGGGGTGGGGGAGGTAATTTGTACCCACAGGTATTTTTCGGGCGACGCCGCCGATGTATACCCTCCGGCTTGGTGGGGCTGCCGTATTGAACCAGATTTTCACAAGCACGAAATATACTATTTTGCTGTACATCACGTCCGAGTGAAGCTTACGCCAGCCACATCACTATCGCCGATCCCGTGGCATTAAGTGGTTGGTATCATGTCTCCTCCCTCAACAAATCAACGAGCTTGGCGCTAGCAATCCCCCGGAAAATTTCAGCACCTCCTTCCCCTCTTGTGTCTTTCTTGCCCCTGTCTCTCTGCGCCCACCAAAACCCTTTTCCCAGGCAAGATCTCCATCGACACCCTCGTGCGCAGCCGCGTCATGGAGGAGTTCCTGCAGGTAAGGATAGCGCCAGGGGAGCAGGAGGAACCAGGATATGCAGCAGCAGCAGCAGGAGCAGCATCGGAGAACGGCGGCACCCAAAACGAAGACGCCGGAGCCAAAGGAGGAGGAGTGGGGACGGCGGATAGCAGCGAAGGCGGTGGTGGTAGTAGTGCTGCTACTGTTGGCGGTGTGGGCACAACACCGTCCAGGGAGGGGGCTCCGCAGGGTGAGGGGGGCCGCGACGACGGGAATAATCATAGCCCGCTCCAGGACTTGAGCAAGAATTGGTTTTCGGCGGAGAGCACCCTGAGGGTCTACGGCGAGGTGGGTGGGTGTGTGGGGGGGTGTACTCATGTTTGGCATGCCTGACCACGCGTCCTCGAGAGGACGGAGCATTGCTCCCACAGGACCTATCACCGATGGCCAATCGTTCCTCCCTACAGTACTTTGCGAAGGGGGCGGAACTAGCGGGGCAAAGCAAGGGTAGCTTGTAGATTGGCTGGAAACCGTTATTCCGCTGAGTGACGCAATGCACCCGCTGCTGTGATGAAGCATACACGCGGATGAGCGTACTCTACTGGTACTCCAGCCGCTCCCGACATCAACCAGTCTTGCTATCACTTTCGATTTCATGCGAGCGGGGCGGGGGGGGGGGGTGCAAGGGAGGTCTGTCGTGAGCGAGGAAAGGGGGGCGTGTCTTTTGTGTGTGTGTTTACGACCTGGCTGAGGCCGTTGATAGGGTCGTGGTGTTGCAGTATTAGGTTTGACTCTCGTTGAGCGAAGAAGGGACCTCTTCGAAATTCCTGGATGCAGGGAATGCAAACACTACCACTTGCCTCCCCCAAACCGTGCAAACATGAACGTCGCGACTTGTATGCCGCCCCTCTTGATTCCTCCCCCTCTCCCTCCTCTCCTCCTCCTCCTGCCCTCCCCCCTCCTGTGTTTTTTTAGCATATGATGTCATCTCTTGTTCTATGAAACACCAACAACAACGTATTTAGTACATGAAACGAATCCGACTCTTTTATCCTCGAAAAAGCAGCAAGGGTGGAATCAGCGATCGTCACCCTGTAGGTACAATATCACGTCGTATTTTGACGGCACTAACGTCGATTCTGTGCCGGATCTGTGTCTGCTGCCCCGTGCAGTATCTCGAGCTGGACGAGGACCAGAACGGGATGTTATCCAAGCAAGAGCTCGTCAACTTCGGTGAGAATCGACCCCCACCCCCCACCCCACTCCCTCTAGCTGTTGGCGTTGCACCCGCTGGGGGGGGTGTTACAGCGAAAGATGGGGGGGGGGGGAGGGGGGAATCACATCCCCTGCTGACGGGGACATTAAACTGATGACACGG